CAAGTCCCTGGTGGGGACGCTTTACAAGGCTGCCACAGCCCTCACCATTATGCTCAGCATGCCATCGCCTTGCCTGAAGTTCACTTTGGACTCTGTCTTTGGCTGGTGGAGGCTAGAGGATCAAGCTAGAGACTTGTCCTACAGGATTCAGGCCAAGCCCAGAAAGGGCCCTTCTTGCCGCTGGGGCTGCTGTTCATCTTCCTCCTCTGCCAACTTCACCTTCTTGCCAGGCACCAGGCTGGCTTCAGCAGCACCAATCTTGCCTAGGCTGTCCTGTTGACTGGCAGAGGCCCGAGGTGTCCCGGCTTCAAGCCGTCTAGGTCAAAATGCTGCCAGGCTCCTTCTGGGTTTCCATAGGTTCCAAATCCAGGCTGCCTTAGGGCTGTGGCGTGGATGGAGGCAACTCCTGTTGGGCTGGGGGGGAAGAGGATTGCCGGAGAGCCCTCCAGATGCTGTGGGTTGGGCATCATTCATTGTAGGTCTAGTTATGGCTGTGGCCAAGGAAAAGTTTCTACACTTTCTCTGCCCATCTCATCTTCTTCCTCCAGCTGCAGGCCTTGAGGGTCATCGTACCGACTGTGCAATGCAATCATTTCATTTTGGGTGCTGTCATTCTGGTGGGAGGGGGGAGGTTGGTGCTTAAGGGGTGGGGCATAGTTAAGGGAGCCTATATTTTCTGGTTTTCCACAACAATTTGACACCTATGGATTGGCTAACTCAAACTGGTTGATTGGACACTGGAGAGGGATTTTGAAAGGGCATTTTTAATGTAACATTTTGTGTGGGGAAAACCTCAGATCTTGCTTTACTATCCTGCTGTCATTAACTCTCAATAAAAGTTCTTTTTGAAACAATGCCAGTTTTAAGAGTTCTGCTTTCTTGGGAGATCTAATTGAGGCAGGTCCTTATATTACCTTTCAGTATATCATTGTTTTACACTTAAAATTGTCATTAGGGCAAAGAATCGGTTGTTAAATTATTTGAATCCCACCACTGCTTGCAACAGTTTGAAGGAGTATTCTGGGAGTGGGCAGAACCCCTTCCTGTTATTATAATTACTGATGGAAGCCCCAGAAGAGAGGCAAGGGGAAGCCATATAATCACTTTGCTTTTAAAAGCAAGGGCTGCATTACTCTTTACAAATCACCTTTGAGAAGGTCTTTCCCTCAAGCAGTCATATGTAGCTAGTTGACTAATGGCATACTTTCATTGCCACTAAATTATATCAATGATAGTTTGGTGAAGCTGAAGAAGATTCCCTACTTCCCAACTGGTACAACTAGTGTTCCCAAAAGTGAGATAATGCCTTTTAAATTTCCATGGTAAATATCTTTTGAGATAAGCCTTAATATTGTCCCTTTATTATAGCCGCACAATAAGTATATTTGTCCTCTGTGGATCTGGAATAATTGTGGAGTTGTTCTTCCTCCCCTCTCCTTTTAAGAATATTTTTAAAAATAAGACCAATTAACACATTTATGTTTTGTTCCATTAAAAATACTTACCTTACTTTAAATCAAATGAAACAGACAAAATGTTACTCTGGAATAAGCAATCACAAATAGCAAAGACAGTTTACTCAATTGGGGTTTTATCTCTTAGGTAAGTAATAGATGCAGTGATCATGATCCATAAGGTTTAAAATGGTTGCAATTTTCCTTTTTATCAAGTGGTGCCTGTCTTTCCCTGTACTGTAAGATTCATCTAGCTTATTGTTCAACCTCTTCAACTGCATGCCCTGCAGATCTATCAGATTTCAAATGTAGTGTTCATTTACTTCACTTGTTGTTGTTGTTAATTGCGAAGTCGTGTCCGACCCATCGCGACCCCATGGACAATGTTCCTCCAGGTCTTCCTGTCCTCTACCATCTTCTGGAGTCCATTTAAGTTCACACCTATTGCTTCAGTGACTCCATCCAGCCATCTCATTCTCTGTCGTCCCCTTCTTCTATTGCCCTCAATCTTTCCCAGCATTAGGCCCTTCTCCAGTGAGTCCTTCCTGCTCATTAGGTGGCCAAAGTATTTGAGTTTCAACTTCAGGATCTGGCCTTCTAAAGAGCAGTCAGGGTTGATCTCTTCTAGGACTGACCGGTTTGAATGCCTTGCAGTCCAAGGGACTCGCAGGAGTCTTCTCCAGCACCACAGTTCAAAGGCCTCAATTCTTTTGAGCTCAGCCTTTCTTATGGTCCAACTTTCACAGCCATACATTGCAACTGGGAAAACCATGGCCTGGACTATACGCACTTTTGTTGGCAGGGTGATGTCTCTGCTTTTTAGTATGCTGTCTAGATTTGCCATAGCTTTCCTCCACAGGAGCAAACGTCTTTTAATTTCTTGGCTGCAGTCCCCATCTGAGGTGATCTTGGAGCCCAGAAAAATAAAATCTGTCACTACCTCCATTTCTTCCCCATCTATTTGCCAGAATTGAGAGGGCCGGATGCCATGATTTTGGTTTTCTTAATGTTGAGTTTCAAGCCAACTTTTGCACTCTCCTTCTTCACCCGCGTCAAGAGGCTCTTTAGTTCCTCTTCACTTTCTGCCATTAGAGTGGTATCATCTGCATATCTTAGGTTGTTGATATTTCTCCCGGCAATCTTAATTCCAAATTTTGATTCATCTAGCCCTGCCTTTCTCATGATGTGCTCTGCATATAAGTTAAATAGGCAGGGCGACAGTATACAGCCTTGCCGGACTCCTTTTCCAATTTTGAACCAATCAGTGGTTCCGTGTTCGGTTCTCACTGTTGCTTCTTGACCCGCAGATAGGTTTCTCAAGAGACACATGAGATGGTCTGGTACTCCCATCTCTTTAAGAACTTGCCACAATTTGTTGTGATCCACACAATCAAAGGCTTTTGCATAGTCAATGAAGCAGAAGTAGATGTTTTTCTGGAACTCCCTAGCTTTCTCCATGATCCAGCGTATGTTGGCAATTTGATCTCTAGTTCCTCTGCCTCTTCGAAATCCTGCCTGTACTTTTGGTAGTTCTCGATCTACATACTGCTGGAGTCTAGCTTGTAGGATTTTAAGCATAACTTTACTAGCATGTGAAATGAGTGCAATAGTGCGATAGTTTGAACATTCTTTGGCATTGCCTTTCTTTGGAATTGGAATGTAAACTGACCTTTTCCAATCCTGTGGCCACTGTTGAGTTTTCCAAATTTGCTGGCAAATTGAGTGTAGCACTTTTACTTCATCGTCTTTTAAGATTTTGAATAGCTCAGCTGGAATACTTCACTTACAGGACTCAAATGGGCTAGAGATGCTGATTTTTTTTTTTAAAAAAACTGTATTTTAATACAGTGATCAACAGAATTAATGACAATAAAAAACCAAAATAAGAAAAAGTGCAGAAAAAAATACACAAAAGTAAGCCAATAAGAGTTTCATAATTTGGGAACATCCAAATTTGATATTTGTATCAGAGTTAATATGCATTCTTGCATACACAGTAACAGATGGATACGGATTACCTGGTTGAAATAACTAAAATAAGTATCATGTCAATAAAATAATAATAAAATATTATTTAATTTCTTTTAGATTCATTGCTGAAGTATTTGCTTTAGCAAATACAACAAAAAATTAATCTATTTCTGATATTGCACCATTTTGTATACCCCCCAAAAAGTGGACAATAAAACTACCCTAAAATTACTCATTGGAAACCATTATATTTCACTTTATAATGTCCTCACATTTTGAAAAAAAAAAGAGTAATTAACTAGACATTAAGTGTCAGAGGTGGCTTTGATTACAGATCCTTTATCACAAAGACTTTGATTAATATATTGCAATGTTAAGAAGTGAATTTATGCATTTTTAAATTATTACTTCAGGGTTATAAGCCAACATTTAAATTCAACTTTATACCATGAAGATTTCTAATCTCACTCATCAAGTTCAATTTCCAAGTTTTTTTTTTTTATATATATTTTAAGACTTACAAGAGAGCCTGGCTTGTATTTCATATAAGACTTTGTACAATTTATATGATGCAGATGAACAGAATTTATCAAATATTGCTGATGGTTTTGATTGATATACTCATAAAGAAGATTTAGAAGGTGAAAATTAAGTCATAAAATTCAATCTGTTCTCTATGCAGGAATCTAGATTAAAGCACTTTGGATGCATGTCTGTATAACTCTGCTTGAATATATCAATTTATTTATTTATATCCTATCTTTATTATTTGTATGAATAATTCAAGATGATGAACATTCCTAATACACCTTCCTCCTCTTATTTTCCCCACAACAACAACCACAACTCTTGATTCCTTATGGCCAGAAAATAAAACTGGGTTGTTGTTTTTTCTTTGAAGCAGTGAGGATATTTTCTTAAAATAATTTCATTAAAACATTATTTAAACATGAATCATCTTGCTGTTGTTTAGATCTATTAAGACCACACTTTCCACAATTCCTAGCTCACTGTATCAGTTGAACCCGAGGCACATTTAATTATGACTTTATATAATTAAAATATTTATTAATAAGAATTAATATATAGTCACTTTAATAGATAGAATTAATAGACAGTCACTTTTAAAACTCATTAAGATATTTGAATTTGAAATGACAGGTACAATTTGGCATTGATGTGTTATTATTACTTTTTTTAAAAAAAAACTCTTTTAAAATATAATCTTTGAGATGAATGATGGTTGGTCTAAATATAAGAATGAATAAATTAGACCATAAAAAAACAGAAGTTCCATCATCCCATCAACAGCATATCTGTCTTCACAGTCTAATTACAATAATCTGGGAAGAAGTTCTGACAGTTATATTAAAAAGAGTTCTCATTGAACCTTGTGAACTCTTTTCTTTCTAAGCCTTGCCAATGTTATATCTATCCAATCATTCTGTTTGTTAAATCATTCCTCATTAGGTTTCCTCAGAGCGCTTGGAGACAGCAGTATTGAGCGTTGCCATAGCAGTAGGTTATTACTTCCTGAGGACAAGAAAACATTGTTGACATTTTTTGCTTCCTGCTTCTGTACAACAGCAGCAACGATAAAGGCTCAGCTGATTTCTTCTAAAAGGGGGAAGCACTCTCACCACAAACGAGAAGGAAAAAGATTGCAAAAAAGGAGTAAGAGAATCTCTTCCATTTTTTTTTGCCTCCATTTACTTACTCTGATATATAGTCAGAAGTTCTTAATGTGGATGGATGCTATTTTCAAGCTATCTGCATTTTGTAGAACAAGAAAAGAAAACCTAGTGCCTTCCAGATGTTTGGGCTTTGAATTCTCAATAGTAAACAGGCATCACAGTCAATAGAAAGGAATTGTAGGACATAGATCAAAACATCTGGGGAACACTATTCATTTTGTCACACCATGTGATGGATTCAAACAACACTTGTTTCTCTATTCAGTTCTGCAAGTTTAGCAATTTCTTGCCCTCCCTATTGGGAATGAAGGATGGAGATTTGTAACAAGGTGTTAAATATACTCTATTGAGGCCTTCATAAAGCCTCCCTGGCTCATGTGACCACATATCTGGTGGGTCAGCTTTATGACCAGTTATGGCATTTCATAGTCACATGACTACAAGTCACAACAATTTGTGCAATCCTAGGTTGCATTAACAGAGGGATACAATCAAGATCATGTGAAATATTAGTACTGCTTTATAAAGCCTTAGTAAGACCACACTTAGAGTACTGCATCCAGTTTTGGTCATTATAAAAATGTTGTTGAGACTCTGAAAAGAGTGCAGAAAAAAGCAACAAATAATATTAGGGGCATGGAGGCTACAATATATAACAATAACAATAATAATAATAATAGAGTGGGAAGTCTTCTAGTCCAACCCCCTGCTCAGGCAGGAAGCCCTACATCATTTCAGACAAATGGTTGTCTAGTCTGTTCTTAAAAACTTCCAGTGTTGGAGCATTCACCACTTCTGGAGGCAGGTTGTCCCACTGATTATTTTTTCTAACTGTCAGGAAATTTCTCCTTAGTTCTAGATTGCTTCTCTCCTTGATTAATTTCCATCAATTGCTTCTTGTTTTGCCTTAAGGTGATTGGAGAATAGCTCGACTCCCTCTTTTTTTTGGCAACCCCTGAGATATTGGAACACTGCTATCCTGTCACCCCTAGTCTTTCTTTTCATTAAATTAGACATACCCAATTCCAGCAACCATTCTTTATATGTTTTAGCTTCCAGAATGGTTGTAGGAATTGGATATAGCTAGTGAAAAGAAAGACTAACAATGTTCCAATGTTTGAGAGGCTGCCACAAAGAAGAAGGGGTCAACCTATTTTGCACCAGAAGGCAAGACAAAAAACAAGGAGTGTAAACTAATCAAGTAGAGAAGCAACCTAGAACTAAGGAGAAATTTCTTAACGGTGAGAACTAAAAGCTTTACAGAGGGAGACCCACACTTGAAATAAAGAGGAATTTCTTGACTATGAGCACTATTAAGCAATAGAAATGCCTGCCTCCTAAAGCTGTGCATGCTCCATTGCTGGAACTTTTCTAGTGATGGAAAAAACTGGACAGTCATTTGTCCAGGATGGTGCAGCGATACCAGCACTGGGCAAGGCAATAGGCTCAGCTAAAGCAAGACTTCTAAGATTGCTTCCAATTCTATATTTTATGATCTAGAACAGGCATGTCAAACTCGCTACGTCACGTCACGTTACGTGACGTATCAGAGCTTTTTCGCCATTGCCGGCAATGGAGTGGGCGCGGCTCCAATATAATGAAACCAGCCTGCCGCTGGCAGTTTGACACCCCTGATCTAGAACAAAGGTGGATAATTGGTGGCACACATCTGACTGCCTTCTCAAGATCACACCAGTGAAATTCAACAGCAATATGACCATTTTCAGCTTCTCATGTTTGTTTTGTTGTATTATTATAATAGTAATGAAAACAAGCACTAAGTCCTAAATATCCCAGATGAACTTTAGAAGTTGTAGGTGCTTCATCACTAGAGGTTTTTAAGAAAAGACTGGACAGCCACCTATCTGAAATGGTAGAGGGTTGGAGCAGGGGGTTGGACAAGAAGATTTCCAAGGTACCTTTCAGCTATATTCTGATTAAGTGAACTAAAAGCAACATTGATACTTAATCCTATTTCCCCATTATTTCTTAAGATATTCTTTACAAGCTTTTTTAGTGCTTGTGTGCTTGTGCTACCAAACTCCAAAATCCCAAACCTTCATTTTATGGGTACTTCTCATTTTTTTAGGAGCAGCCATGTCTGCTTTGGAGACTGCTATTGATCAACATCCCCCAAGGCAGACCATTAATTTGGGGAGACCTGCATCTTCAAGAGCAAAAGTCTCTTCTGAGCAGTAAGTGAAGTCAATGGACACAGACCACTTAATCATATTTATATATAACTTTCATATTAAAAAGCAATATCCAGTGTCAATGGCTTTGATATAAAAATATCTTAATAGTCAGTAAGTGACTAATGAATACTACAGTTATAACAGTTTAATTTGAAGAATTCTGGCAGCTGGTTGCCTTGATGAGTGCTGTAACCAAGGAGCTTTTGCTTCATGCTGGGAACATCCGTAGCCTGCTGATTTATAGCAGCAGTGCAGAACTGTTTAATGTCAGTGCCTCTCGGCTAAAGCAATAATAAACAGGAATGTTATGCTTTATTTTTCTGTATGGATTGTTCAGGATCTGAATGGTTAAGTACCAACTCAATAGGGGATAATAGCTGGATTCCCAAGAGAGATGTAGTGGAGGCTGAAGCATTTTTATTATCCAAGTTTGTTTAGAAAAATTAATCTAGTACAGATGGTGGGGTTTTTTTTGAGTGTACCTTTTAAGAAAAAGAAAATGAAAAATGTCACCAACCCAGGGAAGTTCTCTGGCAGATGTTCAAGGATTTTGCTTTCATACCCCACCTATTCAGGGCAGGAGTACCGGTAGGAGAGAGGGGGGGCACAAGAAAAAGTCAAGAGGTAGCCACAACTGCACAATTAAAACTGACCCTTTTTACATGAGGCAATCATTTGTGCAGTCACAGCTTTGGTTGTGCTATCACAGCTTCCATTTTGACTTCCTTGACATGCATATGGCCAGTTCCCACCCAGCTCCTCTGAGAAAAAGTGCTTGCTTGAAAATCAATCCTCAGTGCAAGAAAAAAAAGAGATCACATTTAGATGCAAGGTGAGTAGGAAGTAATTTGTATTCCAATTAGCAACATCTGAGAGTAACTTTGAAACCACAAATTTATATCAGCTTTTTTTTATTAGTTGGAGACTTCTTTACCCGTACAATTTAAATGAACTGTAGATTACTTAATACATATAGAAGGGTAGGGATATTGCAAAAAGTATTATTACACAAAAATGAGATATTTTCCAGCTTTTGTTTAAAAATGTGTTTAATAATTGCTTATAAGATCTGAAAACAGCAAATGGTTTTATAGAAATTGCAGCATGAGATTCAAGTTATGATATTCAGTCCATGGGCCTCCATTTCTAGCATGGTCAGAAAATAATTTTATGCAAATCAACTGAGTAAGCATAATCAAGTCCCCAGTATTTTTCTGTGGAATTCAAATTGCCTTGTTATACAATTTAGGCCTCAAAAATCCACAAAAAACAAAAAATGGACTATACAACTATAAAACTCAATAGCAGAGTAATGATGTACATGTATCATATTATCATCATACAGTAAATAATTTTGCTATCTGAAGACCGTAATAATTCTTGACTTTTATACTGACATTTTTATATTAAGAATACCAAGATATAAGAATGCTTCATGGAAGAAAAATTAATCAAACTGTGTATCGTACTATTGACTTAGGTTCATTAATATTACAGTCTTGTTTTCTCAAAAACAATGTAAATCTTCCTTTAGATTCATTCTCCATTCTAAAGATGTCTTATTCACAGCATTGGCATATTACAACTGTGAAATATAGTTTCCTTTCAGTACCATTGCCACAAACAGTATGGCATGCAGTCTCCTATAGTACCTTAGCTAACATCAAGATAAAAATAATAAGAATCACATTGATGGGATGAATTAGAAGCTGCAAAGGCTGTTCCAGATTGTTTCTTCACATGTACAATTAGATTGCTATTCTGAATTATTTTAGAAATTATTATTGATATGACATTATTTGCTTGCAGGAAACACATATTACATCTAAAGATCAAAAATATTTAGTTAATGCTCGTCTGGGATCCCATTTTGTATCTTCTGCTCCTGGGAAAAAAGGGGGAGTAGTTATCTATGTTAAGCAAAACTTATCAGCCTGTTTGGTAGAATCTGATCTTCAAGGGAGATATGTTATGATTAAAGTTGGTTTGTATGTAAGAAAGTACTTATAGTGGGATTGTATGCACCAAACCAACAACAGGAACAATTTTAAAGACTGCTACATCAAAAATTAACTTTGTTGGATTACAGATCTGTTATATTAATGGGAGACTGGAATGGTGTTTTAGATACACAAAGAGATAAAAAAGGATCCTCTATTTCTTTTAAACAGGCTAAACTACCTAAAGCTTTTTTTGATTTGAAAGAGGACTGGGAGCTGCGAGATTATTGGCGTGAACATAACCTGGAGGAGAGAGATTTTTCTTTCTTTTCGGATAGACATCAATCCTTTTCAAGAATTGATTTTTTTTTTATTACGACGGATTTATATTTTAGGGTAAAGAATGTTAAAATTTTTCCCAGGACATTGACGGATCACAGTCCAGTTTGGATGGAATTGATTGATGAAAAAGAGGAGAGGAGATCGTGGAGGATGAATGAAAATTTATTCAGACAAGAAAAGAATGTTCAAAAGTTAAAGGAGCAATTAAAGGATTATTTTTGCTTTAAATATGCATAAGGGAACTTCAATGTCAATGGTCTGGGATGCAGGTAAAGCCTACATGCGGGGGATTTTGATACAAATGAATAATGTTCATAGACAGAAGCAGATGCAGAAACGTAAGGAGTTGGAAGATGTTATTAAATTAAAAGAAAAAGCTTTGATTTTAAATCCTATAGATGAGAAGGTTAAGGAATCTATAAAATTGCTTAAATCACAATTTAATATGTTGATGGCTGATCAAACTGCAACTAATTTAATGTATATGAAACAAAATACATTTTGTAATGCTAATAAACCAGGGAGATGGTTGGCTTACCAACTGAGAAAGAAGCAGAGACAGAAAACTATAGATAAAATAAATTATAATGGTAAATTGGTACATCAGAAGGAGTTGATTAAGAAATTTTTTTAGATTATTACCAAAAATTATATATGAGTACTAAAGTACAGGTTTCAGATATAGATAATTATTTAAATGAAGCTAACTTTCCTAAATTAACAGAAGATCAGAAACAAGAAATTAATGGTTTGATTACTAGTGAGGAGATTGAGACAGTAATTAAAGAATTAAAATTAGGTAAGGCAGACTTTGGTTAAGTTGACAGATTTTGAGGTTGTCAATAAGGTAAAATATCTGGGGGTTATTTTATCTGTTTCTAATGCAAAATTGTACAAAAATAACTATGAAAGGCTGTGGGTCAATTGGAAAATTGGGAGAAGTTGCAATTATCTCTTTTGGGAAGAATTGCGGCAATTAAAATGAATGTTTTGCCAAAGTTTCTTTTTTTTATTTCAGATGATATCTATTTTAAAGAATGAGGTTAATTTAAATGAATGGCAGAAAGGTATTAACAAATTTATCTGGGCAGGAAAAAAACCAAGAGTAAAACTTAAAATTATACAGGATATTTGTGAGAGAGGTGGACTCAAGGTACCGAATTTGAAATTGTATTATGATGCTGTGGTTTTAACATTAATAAGTGATTGGGTTAATTTAACAAATGTAGAAATACTCCTCTTAGAGGGTTGGGATTTACTTTTTGGATGGCATGCCTATTTGATTTTTAATAAAAAGGTTGATAGGGTCTTTAAATCTCATATTATAAGGATTTCTTTACTTCGAGTTTGGAGGAAATATTATAGAAGTGATTTTAAAATTCCATTATGGGCTATAGCGGGGCATGCGATTGAAGGGATAAGGAGAGGAGTTAAGATGGATAGCGTTTCTTATGCACAACTACTTAGATGGGATGGTAAAAATTGGCAATTAAAATCTTTGGAAGATTTAATACAAGAAAATATTATTTACTCATGGTTTCATTATAGACAAATAGTGGAGAGGTGGAAGATAGATCGTAATGTGGGTTTCCTTAGAGAAGATGAGAATTTATTAAAACAAATAAAAGATCAAAGACGAACCCATATTAAGAGAATTTATGGGGTGTTAGTAGAATTGGATTCAGAAGTAGAATTAGTTAAAGAATGTATGGTTAAATGGGCACAAAATTTTGATGAACCGGTTCTATTAGATACTTGGGAAATTATTTGGGTGAGGAATGTTAAATTTACACAAGCCCAAAATTTAAGGGAAAATTTTTACAAAATGTTTTATAGATGGCACCTTGATCCACAAAAAATGTCTCGTATGTATCCTGACTTACAGCCTAAATGTTGGAGATTTGGATGTTTGGATGCTACTTATTATCATATCTGGTGGTCATGTAAAAATATAAAAGCTTTTTGGATTAAGATATGGTGGAATATTCAAAGAATTTTTAGAAGAAGGGTAAAATTTACTCCACAACTGTTTTTGTTAGGTATTGTTTCTGATTGTGATACTAAAGAGACTATATTGATGTTAAATTTAATCACAGCGGCAAGGTTGTTAGTAGGGCAATGTTGGAAGAAGGAATCTTTGCCTACCTTGCAAGAGTGGTTTTTTAAAGTTTCTTATTTGGCGGAAATGGCAAAGATTTCGGCTTTCTTGAAAGACCAATCGCAAGAGAAGTATTTTTTGGTATGGAAAAAATGGATAGACTTTATACAATATAAGTTGGATATAAAAAAATATTATTTAGCTTTTCAATAACTTATACTTAAAATTTAAGATATTTTATAGACTTTTTTCCTTTTCCTTTCTTCCTATTTTCTCGTATTTCCTTGTATTTTTGTTTTTTTATACATATATTATTGTTAACTAGTTTAGTTAACAATAATATATGTATAAAAAATTTATACATATATCTAAATTAATGTATTTAGATTTGTTTATGGTTTATATTTGTTTTAAGATTTTTTGAAAAAATATTAATTAAGCCTGTATTCAGCTCTGGGAAGGTCGGGGGAGGGCATGGGAGGGTTGGGGGGGTGGGGAAGGGAACCGTATTGTTTTGTAAAATTAAAAAATTTTCAATTAAAAAAAAAGAAAGAAATTATTATTGATCACCCATCTATCTTCAGCAAACTGATATGTTTGGAAATTAGTTTAGAATTTAAAAAATGCTCTGCAATAAAATTCTATACTTATCAATGTAGAAATGAGATCCAACCAGTTCAGTTTTTTAATTTTTTAATCCACATATCACTAAACACCATCAAATTATTGTTTAAATATGCAGATTAATTTGCACCAAGCACATTCTTTGTCAGTCCCTCCATCCAGATCAGAATAAGCACACAGGCCAGCCACTCAGTCAGCTAGTCAAAAAATATAGCTTAATTATTAAACATCAGCAGACAACAAAAGAGTTCACTGATAAAATGAGACAAAGGCAAGGAAAAGCAGGGAGAGACAGACATGAACAATAGGCAAGAGATAAAGGGACAGAGGATTTAATAACAACAATCTAGATGGTGGTGATGATGATTTATTAAACTTCTATGCCGCCTGACTCTCAACAACACTGAAAGGCTACAAATCTATAAATCTACCTCTGTATTAAGTTCCAAAGCCACTGGAAACAATTTTGAGGGTAATTAGCATGGATTTTTCCAAAGAGAGCATTAACAGCAGCAGAATAAAGATAGAAAATAGAACACCAGGTGATCCTGCTCTACTCTGCAACATAAAAGAAACAATTTGGTAGATGGGAATTATAACAACACTCTACACAAATACATTTATGCACACATAGGCACATCTTATACACATATATAAATATTGTTCAAGGTATTGAACTCAGTAAGACACACTCTCAGATATGTCTCTATAAGGATATATTTATTTATATTGGTTTCTTCCTTTTACATTTTGCCAGTAAAACTCTTGACCACTAAAAGCATCATCACAGAGACAGTTGGCTAAACAGAAGTGAGCTGTCAATTTGAAACTGCAACCATCCAATTAAACAAAGACTGCCAATAACTAAAAAATAATAATCTAATGCCATTAAACATTTGACAAAATAAACAGGCTATTTAATTACCAAATAAAGTAGTACAGAAATCACCTGGGAAACAAATGTAAGCACCATGATTACCAATAACACCAATGAAAAGCCTTTTTTTTTTTTTGAAAAAGGAAAGAGAAGATGCAAATAATCAGAATCTGTCGAAATGGTTAGTCTAGACCAGGGGTAGGCAACCCAAAACACTCAAAGAGCCACTTGGACCCGTTTCCCACCAAAAACAAAACACTGGGAGCCGCAAAACCCTTTTGATATCTAAAATGAAGATAACACTGCATATATCCTTTTTTACCTTTATTATAGGTATGTGTATGTGTATGTGTGTGTGCGTATGTGTATGTGTATACACACACACACACACACAGACAGACACACACACACATATACACATTAAAAATAAAAGTAAAAATATGACTCTTGGGAATATCCATACTATTAAAACAATGATCACCAAGAGAATGCTTTAAGAGAATAAAATTACATACACACACAGGTAAAAAAAGGATATATGCAGTGTTATCTTCATTTTAGATGTCAAAAGGGTCTCTCTCTCTCCCTCCCTCTCTATCTGCCCTTGGTCTGCCACTCCTCTTCCCCCACTCTCTCTCTCTCCCTCTCTCTCTCTTTCTCTCTCTCTCTTTCTCCCCCCCTCCTATCTGCTGCTCACCTGGCAAGCTTCAAGCTGTTGTCCAACAACCTCCGGGTAGGCAACCTCGTCTCTTTTATGACTCATGGACTTCAACTCCCAGAATTCCTGAGTCAGCCTAGCTGGGCTAGCTAGGTATTTTCTAGGTATATTGCTGGTGATAAGGTGCTTAGTTCTTTTTGTTCCCTTTCAGCTTGTTGATTGTCTATTTTTAATAGTATGTAGATCAGGGGTGTCAAACTCAATTTCATTGAGAGCCACATCAGCACTGTGGTTGCCCTTGGGGGGCTGGGTGGGTATGGCCAGGGTGGGTGCGGCCTACTGGGTAAGGGTGGATGCAATGGGTATGTCCTACTGGGTGGGCATGGCCAGCTTTACATTGTTCGCGTCAAGGGTGCCTGTGGGAGCCTGAGCAGGAGTGGGACAGATCTGAGGGTCTCTGGCAGAAGGGGGTGGGACTGGGGCAAGTGCCAAGGCATGGTGCATTTCTTCATTCCTCACAAAGGGTGATACCTCCCCAGCATGCACCCAGGGGGTGGGGCCAATGCAGCAAATGCTGGTTCCTCGCTGTTTCTGGACGGCCTTATGGAGCTAAGACTGAATGCATTTCAGCATAGAGGGCCACCACAAAATTGTACATTGGGTCCCGGCTGGCCTGGACCAGGACCAAGGCCAA